CCGAGCGATTCTGTGATTCTGTGAAGTGCTTAAAAGAACTTATTGGAGAGGGTTTGGGGAGATAGAGCAGCTTTGTTCTGGCAGACTGGCAAACACAGCCCTGTGCAGTAGCACTGATCTGCCAGGATGAGGAAGGTGGGGAGGAGCCGCAGTGGAGCAGCGGTACAGAGTGAAATGGCTGTGAAGTGGGAAATGAGATTGTAAACCAGCCTTGCAGATTACTGTGTCTACTGCTAACCATTTTTGAGATGAAATTTGATTGTGAGCATGACAACATGATATGCTATAGTAGCCTAAGACAAGCAGTTACAGAGATACAATTTCACTGTGACCTGCATCTAACACCCTGCTGCATCCCTCCTCCCTGGAGAGCCAGTGAAATTAGAAAGGAGGTGTAAAACAAACAAAAGGAAGTATGTTTACTTACTGTCAACAGGCAGTCACCTTTAGCAGTGAGTGCCACAGCCTGACTTGGAAGCCAAAACCATGTACAATTCCCAGGAAAAAAAGGAGGTCAGTAGATTTATTCAGAGAAAACAAATCCCTATTAAACATGTGCCAGGTGCCAGTGCTGGCTCAGAAATACCATAAACTCCTGATAAAGTGAGGGGTGTATCAGTCTGCTCTGTCCTCTTAACTGCTGGCCACTTCCAGAGATGAAATGCACTTATGGCCTTACAGTAATTCTTCCCTAATGGAGGGAATTGTATTTGGGTAAACCATAGTAAGAGGCAAACTTTCATACCCATTTGTTCTCCTAATGCACACAACCCTGTATACTCTTGTTTCTGTAGTGAAAATGGCATGCCGGTGCTTGTTCTGAAAGATCAGAAGGATATTGCTCTGGAAATAACAGTGACAAACAATCCCTCTGATCCAAGAAACCCACAAAAAGATGGTGAAGATGCATATGAAGCGAAACTAATTGCAACTTTTCCAGACAGTCTGACATATTCTGCATTCAGGGAGATGAGGGGTTATCCTGTAAGTACTTTTCAAAGAAAAGATATTAAAATTTAAAAATATTTTCAGCATATTTTAACTTTTAAATGTGTTCTGTTCAATCAGGAAAAACAGCTAACGTGTGGTGCTAATCAGAACGGTTCTCAAGCAGAGTGTGAACTGGGAAATCCTTTCAAAAGAAATTCCAACGTAAGTTGCACCTATTTTACTCAAGTTATAAAATCTGATTCCCGACTGCAGTTGTCCCGAGTTTCTGTGTGGCATAGCTGGAAATTTGATTTGGATCTGTCTCTTTAACTTACCTAGAACTTGATGGTGTACTTCTGTAATACTGAATACATGAATATATTTTATGAAATGCTTACATATGTCATGGATGTTTTTTCTTGTCCAGGTAACCTTTTATTTGATCTTGAGTACCACTAAAGTTAACGTGGATACAACAGACTTGGACATTAATCTGAAACTGGAAACGTGAGTTTTCTCTGTGTGTGTGCACTGTGTTTTTACGTACAGTTGTAAACATTTTGAATTAATTTGCTGGATTCACAAAAGCAGTTCAATAGTGCAGTGAAAACCACCAAATTTGTAAAATAAACATTGTTTCCTTTTTATTGTAGAACAAGCACTCAAGTTAATGCGACTCCAATTACAGCTAGTGCTAAAGTGGTTCTTGAATTGCTTTTATCACTCGCTGGGTAAGTGTTAATAGCGTAACAAATGGGGGGCTGGGGATGACAAATTTGCTGCAGACGTTACTAAAATCTGCTTGTTCCTCTTCCCCACCCCACCTGAACAGAGTTGCTAAGCCTTCTCAAGTGTATTTTGGAGGCAGCGTTGTTGGTGAGAGCGCTATGAAATCTGAAGATCATATTGGAAACCTCATAGAGTACGAATTCAGAGTGAGTAATTCAGATGAAAAGCAGCCGTTGGCAATAAAGCTTTATGCATATGAATACTTGGAAAAGCTGCTGGATTTAAAATTGGCTTTTTAGTCTCAAACTTCTGGTTTCCTGATCAGAACATGCAGTCTGACTGCAGACCAAAGCTGCTTTAGGCTGGACGTTTTATGATCATATCTTGAGGAGGTGGCCCGAGGCTGGCTGTATACTTTTCTTCAGAGCAGTTCATGCAGCATAAAACCCCATGCAGGTAGGGAACAAAACTTAAACACAGAGCTCTAACTGTGGTAGGCCTGGCTGTCAGCTGATGCACACAGCCAGCCAGTACCGTGCACTTACTGCATGCAGGATCGAGCAGGCACAAGGAGATGCTGCAGGAGCCACTTTGAGTGTGTGGGTCCATTTCACTCTTTTGGTTTTCTGCCCAATTGATAAATCACAGAATCGCTCGGTTGGAAAAGCCCTCTGAGATCATCACGTCCAACCGTTCCTGTCTACCCCCTAAACCATATCCTTAAGTACCTCGTCTACCCGCTCTTTAAACACATCCAGGGATGGTGACTCCACCACCTCCCTAGGCAGCCTGTTCCAGCTTCTGACGACCCTCTCAGTAAAGAACTTCCTCCTTCTCTCTAACCTGAACCTCCCTTGGCACAGCTTGGTGCCGTTTCCCCTTGTTCTATCCCCCATCACCTGGGAGAAGAGCCCAGCACCCACCTCTCTCCAAGCTCCCTTGAGGCAGTTGTAGGTGGTGATGAGGTCTCCCCTCAGCCTTCTCTTGTCCAGGCTGAACAAGCCCAGTTCCCTCAGCCGCTCCTCATCAGGCTTGTTCTCCAGAGCCCTCACCATCCTTGTGGCTCTGCTCTGAACATGCTCCAGAAATTGAGGAGAAGGCTCAGAGAGATGATTCTGGTTCTGGAAAATCTGAGTTTATCAGCAAGAGCGTTGCTTTTTCTAGATCATTAATGCAAGCCCTGCTGTCTTTGTACATAGTAGTTTCTCAGGACTGAAGTCCCATCTCTGTCCTTTGCTTCCTTCTGTGCATGCATGCCTGTATTAAAGTAGCAGCAGTTAGAGTATCTGCTTTAGAACTTGCTATCATGAACAGTGACACTAGGAAACCAAAAATAGGTTGGGAAGCAACTTCCAGACTTAAGAAAGCAAGAGCTAATTCTCTTGTTGCCACAGTTCCTCATAAAGTTCCCATCTGCCTCAGTTCCGTAACTGAACAATTTGTTAACTCTAAATTGGAGTTGTTGTTGTTTGACAAGAAGAGAGATTTCCAAAAATGAACAGCTTAAAGTTCATGTTAGGGAATTTTAATCCGTATATGTTTAAACTCTGTGTTTACCTGCTGTCCAAGGATGTTAGTTTTAGTATATGCTTTGTCTTTATACTCTTGTTCCAACCGTCTTTCCTCTGCTTTGAGATTTCCTGTTAGCTGCATGTTTACAACTTGCCCAACCCAGTAACACTTTCAATTGAGCGTAAAATCCTTTTAAAAGTATGTCACAGTTGAAAGAATGTTTGTTTTAACAGGTAACTAACTTGGGCAGACCACTGAAAACATTTGGTACCGCTTCCTTGGACATCCAGTGGCCGAAAGAAATCAGTAATGGCAAATGGCTGCTTTATTTGATGAAAATAGATTCCAAAGGCTTGGAAAAAGTGTCCTGTCAACCCGAGAATGAAATCAATAGTCTGCATCTTGCGGTACGTTACCCTGTCTTCTGCTTGTGCATGAGTACAACATGAAAGCCCTGCCGTACATTGTAAAGGGTGTAAGAGCTTGCCTCCAGGATTTCTTCTGTCTTCAGCAGCTCACAAGCACAACACATAAACAATGTACCCTTGGGATAAGCTTACTAAGAGACTTTGTAGCAGCTGAATGTGCTGCAGGACAGATGCTGTGTTGTGGTGGCTGTTTTTGCAACAGGCAGGATAAATGACTGAAACTCTTCTTACTTTTTCTTTTCCCCCTCCCCTTCTTCCCCCCTTTAGGAATCCCATAACTCCAGAAGGAAACGTGAGGTTGCAGAGAAGCAGACTACAGACAGCAAGGCATTTTCTTTATTCTCAGAAAGAAAATACAAGACCTTGGTAAGCACGTTGCACCAACTATAGTCTGGTCAGGTACCTCCCCCTGCCCTCGTAAGAGGGCTTTTCTGAGTTTGGCAGGTTAAAAGAAGGTTATCTCTTTGCTTTGTTTTTATCTTAAATCCAAGTATCGATGCTTTTAAAATTTGTCCATTTAGATTATCTGCTGATGAGAGAGAAGCAGGAAAGAATTTCTGCACAGTTAATAGAATAAGCCGGTACAGCATCTTCATTGCATTTCCCTATTGCTGGCAGCACAAACAGATTTTGGTTCTTGCGCACACGTGTGATGCCTAGAATCCAATTTTTGATCTTGGAGGGGGTGGTTAAGCAATTTATGAGGATGTGTATTTATTTACACATAGACATTTTTAATTGCAGGACTGCAATGTGAACGCACGCTGTGTGGACATCAAATGTCCCCTGAAGGGTTTGGACAGCAAGGCATCTCTGGTGCTGCGTTCCAGACTCTGGAACAGTACTTTCTTAGAAGTAAGTCCTCTTACTTGCTGTTTTTGGAAGGATAGAGTTCTCTCCTGATCCGTGTCTCATGCCCACGGTTTATTTTGGAACAGGAATACTCCAAAATGAACTACCTGGACATTCTCGTTCGGGCTTCAATCAGTGTTCCTGCTGCGGCTAAGAACGTTAAACTCACAAATGAAGCTGCTCAGGTAGGTTCAACATCTAATGCTAACTACATGGTAGGGTTGTGATGTTTCCAGCTTATCTCAAAGACTTGAAGAAGAAGAAAAATAAGTCAGCCATTTTAAAACAGAAGTAGCTAAATTTAGCCTTTTAGCTGAGTTTAGAATTACTGATTGTTTTTCCCTTTTCATCAGGTTGGAGAAGTTCACGACCATATTGAAATGATACCAGTAGGAACTTTTTATTTCAGAAATATTTTGTAGACGAGAGAAGACATCATGTTAGAGGGAAAGACTGCATAAACTGTAGCTGTATATTAAACACAGATGCTTCTGAAGTGCTCTTTCCATCTTCACATGTTTTCTTTCCTTTAGGTGCGTGTTACTGTCTTCCCAGCAAAGCCAGTAGCACTTTATACAGGAGTACCCTGGTGGATCATTGCAGTGGCTATTTTTGCTGGAATACTGATGCTTGCACTGCTGGTATTCTTATTGTGGAAGGTGAGTTTTTATTCATCTGGTTATTTTACATTTCCTGGTCTACAACTGACAAGATGCAAACTAATTAAGCAAATGATTAAGTATTTTGGTTTGTATGTGGGACTCAAAATAGCAAAACTGGCCAAACCATGCATGACCTTTCTCAGTTTCTCAGCTTTGCAACAGTTGGAATGAAAAGGAAGAACTGTTAGGAAATGTTTCTGTTTCCACATCCACAAGAGGAAGTGTTTTGAGCTCTGGCCAAAACTTGAGACAAATGTTCAGAGGCCATAGTTAGTGAAGGTGTAATGAGAAGACAGTTCACACAGTTGATTTAAGTCAGTTTTAATAGGTTTGACTTCTTCCAGTCCAAAAAAAAAATATGACTAAATACCTTGCTTCCTTGTAGTGTGGTTTCTTCAAGAGAAATAAGAAAGATCATTACGATGCCACATATCACAAGGCTGAGATCCATGCTCAGCCATCTGATAAAGAGAGGCTTACTTCTGATGCATAGTACTGATCTACTTCTGTAATTGGTAACTGATGACATTTTTTAATCTTGAGCTGTGGTACACGCTATGGTTGCGGTGGCTAACTATGAAGCTTCTACTGCATATGTTCTATTAACTTGTGGATCCCAAACTGTTACACTTGCTTGCTCATTCTGTCGATAGATTTTCAGCTTTTGGTGCACGTGAACGGAGGTGTTACCTTGGTCTACAAGGCTTCTTGTTTCTTTCTTTAGAAAATGCGTTGGTCTGTTGCAATGGTTTTTAGTCCTTTTTTTTTAAGTAAGTTTCTTAAGCTTACGAGACAGTAATCAACGCTGCAGAGTTAAGATTTAAAGCTAAGACTATACGGACTATGAACTTGCTTTACTAACCTTCAGTGCATGCTAAAAGATACGTGTTGCTTACAGATAATGAGAGGGGTTTTCACACTGAGAATGTAACTGCTGTGGAAACATCTGTTTTCCTTTAATTCTGAGGTGTACCTTTCTAGGAACACACTTTGCTCTGCTGAAGCTACTAGATGCATGATGATTTATTTGTGCTTCTAGCAACCTTTATTCAACTTAAGATATTACGTGCATGCACATTGTGTTAATAAGTGATGCTTGGGACGAGGGGTTGGGGAGGAATTCTTAACTGAAATACATCAAAACAGTGTCTAATGAAATCTTAAATAAGAGACAGCTAAAGATTTGGTCTATGCCTTGATGTAGTTTAAAAAAAAATCAGTTCCATTTAAGTTCTAATATTATTTTAAAAACCCCACAAACAAACCCAAGAAACCCACCAACCCAAATACTGTGAACAGAGCTTCGCCACTTTCTTTTTTCTATATAGCAGTACCTAATGACAGCTGGATGGCACAGTGTCTCTTAACTTCAGTCTCTACATCAGTGACCCATAAGTATGTAAAGTTGAGTGTCTGGCAGTCATCATCTTTGTAACACTGTGGCAGTAACTCCATCTTATTTTGAAAATTAATTTCAGTCCATTCCTCAACATTCAGTTTTTACAGGGGCTTTGTATGAAAAATTGCAGGGCACAAATAAGCTGTGTTAGATTTCATCTAGGGAGATTGTCTTGGCACATTCCAAAACTTGTGAGTTATGTCTGTGTTTTATCCTGTGGCAAACTAAACAAGACTTGCGTTCTGCTGCAGGTGTGTAATTAGTTCAGGTGACAATAGCTTAGATGGTGCTTTGAAAAACAAGGCCCTCGAGTAACTTCTTGAAGGCCCTGGAAATCTTTCTGCAGGTTTTTAAAGGTAAATCACGTCACCATACAGGAAGATACTGAAGGACATAACTACCTTTGGTTCAGGAGATGCAGACCTTCCTGAAGCTGCTGCTTTGTGCAGCATTAAATCACCTCATTATATTAATTAATAGCTCTATGAGAAGACTTAAAAGACTTGTAAAACAAATTTAGAAAGTTAGTGGCGAGAGTATTTTTAAGGTATTTGATTACCGAGTTGTCACACTGTGCCATTTGTCTTCAGCTGCTGCTGGAACAACTAATGCAGACCTGCTGGCTGACGTTTTTACAACTACTGCATACGCTACATTTGTGGCCTATGTATTTTTGCTTTCGATTTTCTTACCTGCATTTATGCCAAGGAAGAATTTGCTACTTCTGTAACTGTAGTATTTTGGTGGCAGCTTAAACCTAAAAACTGTTCTCTTTCTCCTCTGCCTCAGTGCGGGTTCTTCCAGCGTTCTAGGTACGAAGACAGTGTCCCCCGGTATCATGCTGTAAGAATTCGAAAAGAAGAGCGACAGATCAAAGATGGGAAATGCAAAGACCTTGAGACAAAACAGTGGTTCACAAAGTGGAATGAAAATGAAAGTTACTCTTAGGGGAAAGAAATGCCCACGCACGACGTTCAGCTAGGGGTTAAGGTTTTCATTAATGGAATATTGATAAAGTTAGACCTATGAACACTACGGACTTTCACCATTTGATTGTAAATATTGCTACTTACACTGAGGCTTTTGTTTGCACAGTTTAAATTGCTTCACTAGACTTGATTTGCATTATTTAATTTCCAGAGTGCCTCTTACCCCTTTCAAATCTCACTCATACTTTAGAAGGTCCTGTGTTGATTTGGGGTCTTTTCTGCAACATATGCAAAGCCACCGCAGCAGCCCTTTTTCTGTGATCCTAACCTGCTTCCTAGTCATGCACGGTTAAAGTCAAGATGGGTTCTCCATCCTTCCCTCAATGCATAGTCCACTATAAACACACAGCGGCCTGAACACACTTTGATAGTCTGAAGACCTGCAGATCTACCTTAGTCATAAACTTGGCCTGCAGCAGTAGTTACAGCTCAACAAAAAGCACCGTCTTAAATTCCATGTGCAATAGGTCACGTCGCTCAATCTTTTCAAGATCAGATTGTGTGATTCTTGCTCACAACAAATAAATACACACAGGTTTTTTTTAAAGAGGCTTGAATATTAGATGTACTTTTTGTATATATATATATTTTAGTCATTTTTTGTATTTATTTTTGTTATAAATCACTGTCTTTGACTAACTGTTAGGCCAAAGACTCAACTGAACTTTCAAACCCACTGTGTCTTTGAACTTCAGCTTATGAGACCTGAGGCTTTCAATGCATTTTAATAAGTCACTGAAGGTGCCAACGCTTTCTAAAAATGTAAATATTTATTCCAGTTGTGTATGGGGGCTTTTTTTCCTCAATACTTGTAACTTTATGTAATAGGAACTATCAGGTCCTGTAACATGATTTGTATATTTACTTCAGACTACTTAATTATTTGGACACCAAGCAGAAGTAGGGTTTTTAGATCCAGTTTTATACTTACTGCAAGGAAGTGAGAGGTTCTCTGGAACCAGCTTTCCAGCTTCACAAGGACTTCCTGTTTGGCAAAAGGCACTGACTGCTGCAGCTGTTAAACAGCACTCGAAGGAGGCTACGGGTGCCTAACTTACCTTAACTACGGGGATCTGAGCTGATCCATGCTGAGACTACTGAATCGTCTGGAGTACCTGGATGTTGGTCAAGTAGAACCACACTGTTGTGTTTATCAGTAATCTAGTTATTGTAACGTAACGGATAAAACTATTTAAAGAGTTTACTTTTTTACCCATGTTCTAAAGTGTTGGTACTATTTAAGAACAAAGATTTAGTTCACATTTGTTTATTCCATGTGAAACAAATTCTGCTTAAAAAAGTATGCGCATCAATTACTAGTAACTCAAACTATGCAAAAACCTCTTGGTACTTTTGCCCCTCATAGGGTGAAAACCTACTGGGAAGGCAGTTGTCAGGTGTCTTATTGCTACTGCTAACTCTGAACATGCCTTCTTGGAAGGTGTGATCACCTAAAAAGTTATCACTATAGAAAATGCATTAATTTAATAGACTCTTCTTCCACTAAACAATCTCAGTATGGTGTGACCCCGATTTTATGACTATTTACACATGTATTTGGCTGTTACCCAGTTTTTGAACTTCTAAAATTCTAGCTTATTTGCTGAAGGACTCGGCAGCATCAGAAGTCAGGCTAACCAAGGGCCAAGAGGCTTGTCAAATAGCCTTGGATTTAAAAGCAGACTGTGGCCCTTGCCTAGGAACACAAATGTCTTAGTAGTGTTAAACTGAAAGTTCTTGAAAAATAAGTCATGTCACTGGTATACTTTTATCTCAAACATTTTTTATACCAGCTAGCAATGCTACATCATTCCACGATTAGAAATTACCTGTGGATATGTGTATAGAAGTGTGAAATAAATTTTTTTTAATTAAACATTGTTTTGGTGGTAGTGATTTCTGATTGTAATTAGCTGAGGTAGCTGTGGCTAAGTTTACTAGAAGAGTAAGCTGAAAGTTGCAAGCTTTAACAAACGGTCTCGTTCTCTTCATTGCTGTAACTCTCAGTGCCCTCCCCTGTGCAAAGGGGCAGATAAGGCAGCTGCAGGAGATGATAACGCACCATCTCACCCTCCCTGGCTTTCTGCTTCACACACAGAATCACAGAATCGCTCGGTTGGAAAAGCCCTCTGAGATCATCACGTCCAACCGTTCCTGTCTACCCCCTAAACCATATCCCTAAGTACCTCGTCTACCCGCTCTTTAAACACATCCAGGGATGGTGACTCCACCACCTCCCTGGGCAGCCTGTTCCAGCTTCTGACGACCCTCTCAGTAAAGAACTTCCTCCTTATCTCTGACCTGAACCTCCCTTGGCACAGCTTGGTGCCGTTTCCCCTTGTTCCTGCTGTAGTTTCCTGCATTGGTAAGCATCAGGCACGGAGCTGGGCACAGCAGGCTCTGGCACAGCACCGGGGGTCAGCTCCCGTGGGACTGAGCAGCCACGGATGCCTCCGCAGGTCACTTGTGCTGCCCAGGGTACCTCTGATGCAGGCAGCCTTCTAAAAGCTCCCCTGCCAGACAGGTGTTTCTGTAACTAGCGTATCCTCCAAACTTGGTCAAGGATTTGACAGACCAGCTGTATGGAGCAGTGGAAGTTTGATACTGACGGTCAATTACATTATTTCAGGGTACAACTTCCATTCCACAAAAAAAGCCCAGAAAGGCCAAAAACATGCAAGGGGAAAAAAAACCACCCCACAACCAACAAACCCAAAGAAAACCTGTGGTTTATCTCAGTTTTTAAGATGTTAACCCTCACAGGATTCTTTGCTCACCTTTGCTAAAAGTAAAGACCTTTTAATGCAACAAAGCCTGAAGGTAAGAGTTAGGATAGCTGCTAGACCAGTGTTTGTTCCTGAAGCCAAGAAACCTCTAAGAGGGGAACCAGAAGCTGCTGCTGCTGCTAGAGCTTTCAGAGCACCACAAAGATGTGGACTCAACCTGCTTTTATTAAACAATCATTCTTATCTATATAACTATACCTACAAACATTTGTCCACAACAGGACAAAAGAGGGGCTGGGAAAATATCTAGTGCTGAATATCTATAGTATATACGAGCATATTAAAAAAAAACCAAAACCCTAATGTATTTGCTATGTACATAGTGTGTGTGTGTGTGTGTGTGTATATTTCAAAAATATCCACATACACAGAGTCTAAGGTACACAAACAGAATGCTAGTCAGCTGTAATACCTTCACACGTTTAACTGTCACAGCACAGATGACACAACTTATGAGAGAAGCTTTCAATATCACCTGTGTGACCATCACAGCTCAGTTTCAGTAATGCGTGCAGAAGTTACACGTGGAAGAGGAGACAGAACAGGGTGCAGGGATGCACACATCAGGACTCAGCAGGTAAGGTGACGGGCACAGCCATGTCACAGTGCTGACCAGCACTGCAGCAGTGTCACAACTAAAACAGACTGCGCAGAACCAGAAAGCTGCTCATGTGCAACAACTGCACAGATGCCCAGCACAGAGTAGGTCAGAGTGTCAGGGTTTGGTTTGCAAAACCCAGGAGAACAAACTGACAACCAACCGGGCAACTTCTGGCTTGCCAGACAACAAGAACTCAGTCTGCTTCCCTATGGTGCCTGTGTCAGCAGTTGCTTCAGTTTATACCCCAGTCCTCAGACACCCCTAAATGGCCATTTGTCTGTCCGGGCCCTGGATTCATAATTAATATCACACGCCTTTTATAACCTCATAAACCTTGTGGAGTCCTAACCATGATCCTTGTGAGAAAAACACTCTCCTTACCCTGAGAGACCACCACAGCCATCTTACACACTCCCCACTCGGTGTGTGATACTGTCACTATACAAGGGTGGGACCTGCATTTTGCATTTTCAAAGACAGACCCCTTTCCTCCTTCATTTTATAGCTCTCAAAATGGGTGTCTGCAAGCAGCACCTTTTCGGGGCCCTAGCTGCCCCAAAGAGCCTAGAAGACAAAAGGCAGAGAACTGAGTTTATAACAAGCAGAGGTATCCTTGCTGCTGCTTCCCTGACTGTCTCAGAACAACCACCACCCCCTCACACTGATACACAGGGCTAGCTATTTATTTCCTCTTATCTCCCAGTCTCAGTGTCTTCAGGCCACAGGGGAGGGACAGAAAAGTCAAATGCTTCTTCCAGGAGCACATGAAATAATGCAGCTGCTAAGCTGATTGATTAAAATAAATGCTTGCAGGATATTGCTTGGTTTTTCTGAAGTGGAAGGAACCAGAGGTTATGTTACAGAGCTGAGCAGCACATCATTGCCAGGCAGCCCAGGGGACAGCCTGTGATTGACTCTGGCTCACCAAGGAGGAACACGACAAAAACAGCCATCCCGGACTGGACCACAGATCCACCTGAGTCAGCATCCCACCTCTGGCAATGGCCAGTAGTTCAGGGTGATGGTGATACTTTGCTGCTCCCACAAAGAGTCAGTGCTTTTCTAAAAGTCAGTAGCCATGGAATAGATTTTGCCCATGAAAGAAAAAGCTGTACATCATAATCATAAAACTCCTCCAACTGCCTTCTGATCTTGAGTCACAACGTTGTACATGGCAAAAATTCACAAACTCCAGAGTTTAATTATACACTGGATAAAAACAAGCAAAGATAAAAACAAGAACAAGTATGTTCTTCCTAAATCTACTACAATTTGGTAACTCATACAGAAGCCACTCCATAATTTCGTTGCCATTTTTGTATCTTTTAAATTCTACTCTTGCTGAAAAAAGAGACCAAAGCCACACCAAATCAATGCAAACTTAATACTTTTCTTGCATAGCAAAAGCAGCTGAACATACTGACAAAAAAAACACGAGTAGGACGACAAGCCTTTGTGTTGAGTGAGTACACAAGCTGAAAAGAGACACGGACAGATGGACTGGATGACTGTGCAGGCATCACAGCAAAGCTTTATAAAGCACTGCAAGAAAAGAAAGACAAACCAAGAAGTCTTTCTATGGAACATCCCGCAGG